TTCTCGTCGTGTCCTGTGCAGCTACACTGCCGGACGGGACAGGCAAAAAAAAGAAAATAATAATAATCAGGGCTGTCAGTGTTAACACATTAAAATGGGCAAAACTCACATTAACAAGTTAACACAGATCAATCCGTATAAGGAGTTACTCAGCGTTAACGCATTTAAGCCACAGTAACACGTTAATGCCATCATCATGACTAACGCAATTAACAATTAATCCATCTGGAGCACAGACTGACTCAAAATCCCTGACATGTGTCTGTCAATGCATTTTGGGCAGTTTGTCCTTCCTGCAGAAGCCCCCCTGCTGGCTGAGCCCATCCAGGGGTCTGTTTGGTCTTTGCTGAGTGGCTAGTGCGTTAACGTGGGCTAATTCATGTTAACGCGTTAACACTGACAGCCCTAATAATAATACATGTAAAAACCAAACAGTATGTCAGGTTGTTATCCTGGTATTCAGTCTGTGCTGCTCTCACTCAGAGATCAGAGTTCATGTTCAGTAACCACACTGACAGCAAGAGGAGGAAACGATTGGTTTAATTTAAAAGAAGAGTCTGAGCTGTGGATGAAAACAATGAGAAATATATAAGTGAGTCACATATCAAACACAGACCATTAACCTCCTAGGACCTGCCGTCCACATATGTGGACATCACATTTTGGGTTATTTAGACCAAAATACTCAATTTTGCTCTACAAGGGCCTGATATCCACTTACGAGGACATTATACTGCTACTGTCCTATCAAAATTTTAAACGAATTTCCTCATATGTGGCTCCTATTTTTCTTAAAAACAAAAATAAGGTAAAAAAAAATCTGGTAATTCTTTGTTTTTACATTCATCGGGCCCCAATATATTTATTTTTATTTTTATTCCTATTTATTCTATTTATCCCCTTCGTATATTTTATTTATATTGTCTCTGTATTTATATATATGTGTGTGTGTATAACTCTGTAACTTCTGTCGGTGCTGTGCTTTTTTGGAAATCGAATTTCCCAGAGGAACCCACCCGATGGATTAATAAAGTTCTATCTTATCTTATCTTATCTCAATATTCCCAAATATCGAAGAGAAATTAAAAATGCATGCTGTGGAAGAGTTCAGGTCTTAGGAGGTTAAGTGCAATAAGAAGCAGAATGAAAAGCTGAGTGTGAGGGTCAGGGTGCTGTCTCAGTGCAGAGGCTTCAGGCTGAATCCTGCTGAGCTCAGAGTCAGACTCACCTGTGCAGCTTGGACAGGTAAACACATCAGGAGATGAGGAGAGTTGGCAAAGTACAGACATTCAGTACTTAAGTAGAACTACAAATACTACTATTAAAAATACTCCAGTAAAGGTAAAAGTACTGATTCAACTTCTTTACTCAAGTAAAAGTAAAAAGTAGAGGCTCTGAAATGTACTTCAAATAAGAAAGTAAAAAGTAGCTCTTTGAAGGATGTTTGTAAAATATATTTATACACAAGTCTGGTCTAAGTGTTCTGTCAGAGAGACTGCAGCAGTCCAGGAGTTTGTTAATTGTCTTTAATTAAGTCCCACAAAAGATTTGTTTACATGAAAATGTTTGTGAGGCTTAATCTGAATTTGATGCAGCCAGAATTGGCTAAATAGCGCATGTCTTACAAGATGCTAATAGTGAGGCATAAATATGGCAAGCTAGCAACAGCTAAAGGAAACCATAGAAAAGTCCTGTATTCCTCATACTGTGTACAGCCCTGCATCAGCAGCTTCATTCTCATACAGACCTTTCTACTCTGTGTGTTAAACTGAGCTCTATGTTTGCTACATAGCAGTCAATGAATCCAGTTTTTACACCACAGTTAAGTTAATGTAGTTAAATCTGTGTATTTGTAACTCAAACATTCAGTGTTTTAAACAGAAACCTGACTTTGACATATTTAAGTTGGTATGAACACAGTCAGAGCTGCTGCTGCTTTTATTGTTCTGTTGCTTTTTCAAAGCTTTCTGTGCAAATCAATAGAAATATTTATTGTTGCATCTTAAAGCTGCCAGCACAGCAGCAGCATGAGGAGAAGAGTGTTTGCTCAGGAAATACACGGGTCCCTGAAGAGTTCAAACAGGAAATATTCCTGCATTAAATCTGCAGTTCAATCATCAGCAGATTACTGTCAGTGTCATCTGTCACCAGGCAGGTTTTAACAGGCGTGTAAGCCACATATTATTAGAACACCCTTTTATATTTGGATGATAAACACATTTAGTTGTGTTTGGTCTTTAACTTGTGCTCAGTTTCCACAATGAATTCATGATGGAAATCTCTAATAAACTATCAAAATAGACACTATTTTCCCCCCACCACACTCTCTGTCTGTGGCTGGTGCCCCCATCCTCTGGTTCTTGGTGGTTCTTGGTGCTCGGGTGTGTTTTGGCAAATGTCTGCTTGGTGGGGCCTGGCCCCCCTGGCTCTGTCAGGCCCCTGTTTGGGGGTGAGGAGGTCTTTGGGTCTCAGATCTCTGGGCCTGTGTGCGCTCTGCTCTGGTGCATCCGGCTGATGGGATCCTGCAGGCTCCTCGCTGAGACCCCTGTGACTTCAGCACCATGGCTGCAGTTTCTCTGTTGTCTGGTTTTGTCGTGTGTGTGTATGTGATTGTTTTTGTTTGTTTGTTTGTTTTTTAGGCAGGTTTGGAGCAGATCCTCAGTGTTTTTTCTCTCTCCCTCTCCTTCTGTAAACTTCATCACTAATTTCTTTCTTTTTCTTTTCTGTTCTGATTTCTGGACGTAGCCTTAGTGTGAGCAGCCAAACATGATGGCAGACTGCCACAGATCACTTCTGAGGAAAGAGGAGGCGTTCAGCTTCCTCATAGTTTCACACCTGCATGAAGCAGCCTCACCCTGACAGCTTCAAATCACTGTGTCAGCTGATCACTTCCTGTCCTGTGATTGGCTGAGCTTCAGGCCTTCTCTCAGTCAAACTGGAAACAGGGATTGAGACAGTGTGAGGGTTTGTGGAGTGCCACAGTGCTGTAATGAATACTGTAGTGGAAGAAGTTCTTTCACACTCTTCATCCTGGAGCTGCTTTATGTCCATGATCTGCATGGAAACACATCTATGGAGAGGAAATCCAGCTGCTGAGGGTCACATCTGCATCATTGTAGCTACAGTGGATGTTTCATGGTCAGGACTGGAGGCGGAGCTTTGGGTGGGTGAGGCCGCAGCAGCCGCCTCCAACCGCAGCGCTCGGGCGTGAAACTACGAGGAAAGCCGACGTCCTCCTCTTTCCTCAGAAGTGATCTGTGGCCGGCCGGACTTCATTCCACAGATGTGCTTTAACAAAGTGTGAAGCTGAACTCTGAGCTGTGACAGTGAAGCAGTGTGAGAGTGTCAGTAGATGATCAGCAGAGGAAAGTGAAGCTGCTGTGAGCTGATGTCCTGAAGGGCTTTTAAAGAGTCTCTGAGTTTGACAGGAACATGAAGATGTTTGTGGTGTTTGTGATCCTCCTGCACGGTAAGTACACCTTCCTCTCTCTGCTCTCATCATCAGCTTTTCTTTCATCTCTCTCTCTTTAATGTGTTGAAGTGCAGCAGGAGGAGATTTCCATCAAACACTGGATTCTGATTCAGATCAAAGTAGAGCTGGGCGATATAAGATTTTTTCATATCACGATATGTTTTTTTCATTTCAGGCGATAACGATATCAAAGTCAAAAGTCAAAGTCAGCTTTATTTGTCAATTCTGCCACATGTACAAGACATACAGAGAATTGAAAGTTCGTTACTCTCAAACCCTAGATGAATAGCAAATAAACATTTAAATATTTAAATATTAGAGTGATCTATCACGATATAAGCCAAATAACTATATTTGTAAGACTTAAATGTGCCGTTGCTCACAAGTGAAATGTGAAATAATCAGCAGCTTGTTTTGATTTAAATATTTATTTCCCATAATAAGTTCAACAGGGTAGATGTACTTAAGGAACATGAGACTTTTTCAGATAAATAAAGGCAAATATTGCAAACTACACAAAAGGCAGCCGCTAAAGCGTTTAAGTTTCAAAATAGAACAAACGAAACAGACTAAATTGTCAATTCCACTTAGAAACAAAATATTAATTCTAAAAATAAATCTTAGTTTGTTTTACAGAAGAACAGACAAAACTGACTAATATCAATATCAATATCAAATAAACTGAGAACTAAAAGGAAGTTCTCAATCTCTCCTTGTTGTATAGCTGAGCTTTTCAAACAGTTTTAACAGTTACTTTAGTCTGACAAAAGCCGAATGACGAATTAGCGCTTCCAGTCAGAGACTGAGGCTACGTCCACACGTACACGGGTGTTTTTGAAAACGGAGATTTTCCGTTTTCGTTTTGTTACGAGTTCAAAATTGGGGATGGACACAAGAGGAAAAACCACAATAACAACACTGGTCCGGCCGGGTTGAGTCAAACGATGATTTTAATGATCACACTCGTGGGAGATGGACGTGTTTTGCAAAAATTAAGTGTAACAAAATCTCAGTTCCATCATATCAGTCATGCTCTTCTGCTTATCCCTGGGTGTTGAGACTAATAACTATTAACTCTTGCCGCACTGGGTATTCCTAATTTTGATTCAAGTTAATTGATAAAGTTTTTTTAAGGCGATTGACTCACACAATTATGTATATGTCCCCGTCCGGTTGTCTCTCGATGCATCCCGCTGCCTTATCTGGGGTTAGCTGTTTTCTGGGGATGCGGTTTGAGTGGGGGAGCTCTTCAAGGAGGGAGAGAGTGCTCCCCCTGATGAGCTCTTCTAGGTAAGCTAGGTTAGCCTTCTTGCATGAGCTTTTCAAGTGCACTTTAAGGTTTGTGGGATTTGTCTTGTCATAAATGTCCCTCAAGACCCCCTGATGACCCAATAATTCATTTTTGCGCACGGTAGTACACATTTGGTTTTTGCTTGTAGCTTTCATAGTCTACTTGCCACTCACATTTGTGGGGGTGTGGCCTTGCCTAATGTTTTATTTTTATTTAAACTCAGATGTTGATTAATTTCCAAAAATAAACATCTAGTAAATAATTTGAGGGGTTTTTAAGAATTAGGCTTTTTTAGTTTCACAGAAAACTAATTTATTAATGTGTGCTCTAGTGTACATTGGGACCTGGTAGTTATATTCATTTCACTTTTTCCTAGTGGGCAACTCTTTGACAAAGGCAGGGAGAATTCTTAACAGAATAATTGAGCGAGATTCAAACATAGATTTTTCAGATGAGAGTCATGTGAGCCAGATAGGAGAGGGTGAGAACCCAAGAAGAACCACACAAAGATTATCAAGATGCAGTGGCAGATGTAATAGAGAAAGACACAGGGCCACCTGAAAACTGTCGTTCTATCTGGTCCAAAACCAACCTGTAGGAGAATCTGGAATTTTTTAATTTTGAGCTAAAAATAAAATATGGGTAAAATGCAGAAATGTTCTCCAGTAAGTAAAAAATAAGAGTCGCAGTTTTAGCTGAATCCATGACACCTGATTGTTTCTACGAGATCACGTCGTTGCTGAAGGTTATCAATGATCTCAATGTGCGAAAAGAACTCACAGTCTCTCGAGTTCAAGCTCCTCTTGGCTGAGAAACCTGGGACAAACATGTGAACAAGAGCTGAATAATAACAGTAATGAAGAGTTCTCTCCAAAAATCAAAAGAGGAGATCCCAATCAGATGAGAGTGTAACCAACATGGTTCACTCAACTTGGCTGAAATGGTTAACAGTCCAAGGCATTTCAGTTATATAATGGTTGTGTGCAACAGTAAAACATATGTGGCATGTGGGAAGTGCCAAATGTTCCTTTGTGCCTCCAAATAAAATCACAGCACTTCCTCAGATATCATAAATGAATTAACTTTTGTGAAATAGAAAGTCCAGTGCAATCACTTGTTCCTGAACCAATGGCTTACAGCTAGTGAAGTGTCAGTGACTTCTAAGTTGATCCCTGATCTACATTTTTATGATATTGTTATATAAATAAGTTTTAATAACACTTGATTTATCTTAAAGAAAAAAGAAAAAGAAAAAATGAAAATACTTTTTCTTTTTTGTTCTCTTTCCCTGGGCCTCAGGAGGACATTGTGTCTCTCTACACCACCAGACACTTGCTATGTCTAAAAAAACCGTCATATTTAAAGTAATCCCAAATTGGACTCTGGCTCTTTCTCCTGACTTTTCCTGATATGATTCTGCGCGTGGACGGAGCAGCAACACAGACGACTCAACTAACGTACTGCTTTGACTTGGCTATTGTAGGGCACGCACACATCAATGAGACTAAACACATTCTGCTATAAATTCAGTTAATTTTAGTTAGTTTTGTGAACACCCATTACAGTTTTAGTTAGTTTTCCTGTTTTTTTTTTTTTTGATTTTATTTCGTTAACGCAAACGTTTTTCCACTTCTAGTTTTCGTTATCTCATTTGTTTTCTTTAATAATAATAATCTTGCTCTGCACCCTGGAACAAACATAATCAACATGATCAACATTTTACTGCGTATCAATTCACCATCTTATCGATTCAAGTGCTCCATCCTTATATGGTTTGTGAAATTATGTTTATCTAAACCTCCACACTGTCTCTAAATGTTTGAAGAATTTTCAAGTTTGGGGTAAACTTTTGAGAATTTGACCATAAGTGAAAGTTATGGTGTTATCACCCCCTTTGGGGCTTACCTTTCCCAGTTTTGATGATATTCCTCCCTATTCTTTGCAAGTACCCCCTTTCGGTGGTGAGAAACTGTTGGTGTGGCCAAGTGGGTTCTGTAAAAACAAAAGCTCAGGACAGAACAGTCACCAATCATGTACTTCATTCAAAATTAGCATATATCGAACTTCTTATTGATCCTCTGAGTGTAATGGTACATTTTAATTTGAACTTCTCAAAGCTAAACACAATATTTTACTTTACCTTACTCTTGTTCTTGTGCAGCACCACCCCTCAGCACATGCCCCTGTCGGTTCTATCTTACTTTTAAATTATTGACTATTTCAAGAAAGCACCCAAAAGGCGGGGACTAGTGTTTATCATTACATATATTCGTTTTGAGTGTGACCAGTCTATCATTCCCCTGTTATTCATTCATTCATTCATTCATTTTTTTAAAAAATTTTTTTTTATAACCGTTAATTGACTTTTTACAGTGGCCTGCCATGGTTAACAATAACCTGTTCAGTCATGAGTGAAAACGAACCTTTTCTTCACTTTAACATTTAGCATTCCCAACCATTTTATAATGATACATTAATCAAAATACAGCTACTATAACACAATTTTCTTAATGCAAACATCAGTAACTCAAAATTAGCAACCAAAGGGTTCAGTCTGCAGCTCACGCTTCTGTGACGCTACAGCCTCCCCCTTTAGTCTCTGCAATCCTTCTGTTCTTACAAACAAAACAAAGCAAGACAAAACATCCACCCTTCTTTTACAGGCTGGGTGAATTGTTTGTGAACATCTACTAATCCTAAAGTCGGCACCGTTTTTGTCTCAGTATCAAGTCAGTTAAAACTTTTAGTCATCAGTCCGTCACAGTCCAGTCACATGCATACATCCACTCACATTCATACCAGTTATTGCTGATAATGGAGTCTCACGCGCAACCTACTCGAGGCTCCCTCACCAGCAAGATGACGTCATCCTTTTAAAGGAAACAGCTCCTTGTTTTTGGACTGGACTGACTCGCTGCAATCCTTTTAGGCTCCGGACTTCTCATGTGATCAGTGTCCCATATAAGTGAATTTCTCCCAAGCTCATTATAATCATGGAGAAAAATACTTTGCGACTGTTTTCAGTAAGAATATTTTATAGCGCTTTAAAGTTCAACCTCTCAGGTCTGGATTAAAGAGCTGATTTGTTAAATCAGGAACTCACAAAATACCAAAATATAACCACCGGTGGATCACACCTCTCAGATGTTCTTATCTCAGTGCACTGTAACGAAAGCAAAAACAAACGTGACCAATAAAATACTCATATAATAACCAATACTGGTGCCCATTGCAAACATGTCCAAGCATAAAACCATCCTTCTCTCTCCTAGAGAAGGAAAACAATCCAAACCTCACTGATAGAATCAACCTAGTGTCAAACAAAACCCAAAAATCGACCAAAACTTCACACACTATATTGTGTAGGCATACAGGTACTGTAACTCCTTTTTTTCACTGACAAAAACATGTTGGATTGACTTGATTCAATAGTGGACCCTGGTTACACACAAATGCTTTGCTTTGACAGAAACTTAAACAACTAAGTTAAATCGACACAACCTTTTCATATTCTCTCCGAAATAAAACTCACACCAGTCACTCATCATTTTCACTCTGTACCACTGCTCCTTATTAGGCTGTGTGAAGCACAGTAAACAATTCAGTGGAGGCCTTAAGCCATAAACAGACATCACGCACAGACATTGTTTTCATAACCCAACTGCTTTAGACCCTGTCCCCTAAATCTACACAGATGCCCTCTGGG